CCATTGATTTCTGGAGCCGACATTAGATAGATATGTGCTGATGTATAAATATAGGCGACAGAGCTGATTATAATCGATTGCACTTGATTTTAAATCTATTATTAATCGATTAATAATCGATGAAAAGGTGTGTGATTTTAATCGATTTTTAATCAAAAATTAATCGATTATAATCTGATTTTTTCCCTATCTTTTTTTACATTCAAAGCAGGCACTTTGGCAGGTCTATTGCAGAAAATAAAATTCGTTTATGGAAAGTTTATACTATTATTTTATTCAAATAACTATTATATAAATATTACTATTTGTCCATAGGATGTGTTTTTAATTCGTTTTACTTTTTACACGACGATATATAAAAATAAAAATACATCATGAAAATGCCAAAATATTAAATCAAATAAAGGCATAACTTCCTACAAAGAAGAAAAACAAGTTGTACTTTGATCATATGCAGTTGACTGATTTGCGCACATGGTGATGCATTTTTTTCGTATTAGTATACTCTACCTATACGAAGAAAGAATGAGGGAACAAGTAAAACAATGTAACTTTCCCAAGAAAAAAACAAGATATGATGTCATAATATCTTAATGATTATTTCTTACTCATTACGTTGCTCATGGGTTATTTTATGTAGGTATACCTCGTCGCTATACACATAACGAATGGGAGAAAAAACAAAATAATGGATTAGTTCCCAATCAAAAAAACAAATAGAAGATGTGGAAAAATTATTCTTATCATTTTCTACGCTACGGTTGAGTGCACGAAGGATAACCAATCTGGAAGTATATATATACATTAGATTATACTGTATTTTAAACATCGAATAACGTCGATACTAAAGTGGTATTCTTATCTTGATCAAGCAATATTCTCTACGAATACAAGAAACAAATGTATGTATATGTGAAGCTGTAGTCTTTTTTAGGTTTTTGAAGTAATAAGTATAGACGAAATTTGTGCGCTAAAATAGTATATTGATAGTTTATGATGTTATTTTCCGGTGGTGAAAATGTTTCAAGATCCTTTATGAAATGAATAGCAGAGATTAGCTACTGTAAAGAGAAACATCTCATAAAAAAACTTGTGGTTAGTACTGTCAATCTGACTTGTAATTTCCACCTTACAAATAAGTGTTCAGAGTCCCTTTTTTTAACCGTTTGAATACGTTCGGTCTCATAAGTTAAAATAAGGTACTGCATGATAAAGTAGTGTTCCATATTGTGAGAGGAGATTGACTGTCCTCGTCTATTCGAGGGACGACACTGTATCTCTTTTCTTCTTTATCATTAAAGAATAAAGATAAAAGAAAGGCATAAAGAATTTTTTTTGAGACAGAACCCAATGAAGTGAATTTGAACATGAAAAATCATCGAAACCTAATTATTTTTCTCCAGTTATTTTGTATTTTCTCATGACTAACTTTTTTACACCTAAGATACCTCTTAAAGTTCAAGAAAATATTTTAATCATCGTTCCAGTGAAATCGTTTATAGTTTGGTAGGACTAAGTGTTCCTATGGAAAATACCGTATTTTTTTTCAAAAGTAGTTAAACAATAAGAAAGATGTGAAGCCATATCTGTAAATCTCACAAACTAGCTTTGAACTTGAAAGCTCATTAAAACTCGACTTAGGTTCGCCAAAAACAGGTTAGTTTGATGCAGAATTGTTTTCTTCGTCAGAACATATCAGCATTTTAGACATTCAAGTATGTTTCTATCGAAAAATGTTAAATGTCGCCCGAAGTGTATGGTATTGTTACAAAAAATAACCTTTCGATTTTTGTGCAATTAGAGTTTCTTCGGATGCATCGGGAAAACATTTTTTATTATATATTTGATTCAATGTGCTCATTTTCGGAAGATGATTTTCAGTTTCACACTCGATATCTAATCTTGATGTTATCTCCTAGTGTATTCGAACCTATGCTCACACTCACATCCGACATCTTCCAATGCTTATCGTCTTGCTTTTTCTCTGTACAGTAGTCTCGACACATACATGTCCTGTGTACATGCACAAATAAGAACAAGACAGAGAGAAAAATCGATACAATAGCGTTCGAGAGAGGGCAAGAATGTCTTTCAGGAAAACTTATTTTGAAAATTTTTTGCTAGACACTTAGCCACACATTCTATCCATGTTTTAGTGGGATACTCACCTTTTCACACACCTTCCAATGATGTTATTGTCAGCGAGTAACCATGAGATTCATTGTCGGATGCAGTTGATATGAGCTTTCAAATAGAACACACCGATTCGCCCAAAGCTACGTTACAAATAGCATGAAAGAGAAAGGGAAAAGGAGAGCTATATTTTTTTTCTGTCACTCTTTGTATCTAAAAAAACTCATTCAACTTTTCTTTCTTACTGAACTCCATATTCATACAGTTCTACAGTGTATATCTTTCTACTATTGCTCTATTGATAGTTTTGAACTAGAATTTGTTGATACATAGAATGACGACACTGCAGTGGATGAAACGGCTTCTGATTATGCTTCTTGTATTCTTTGTCGAATTGAATGGGGTACAAGGACAGAAAACTAATAATCCCTTCTATGTCATTGCACACATGGCCAACAGCAATACCGCCGTCAATTGGGCAGTGTCACAAGGTGCAAATGCTATCGAATGTGACATTCATTTTGACAACAACGGAAAGCCCTTTCTTATTGAACATGGTGATGGTTGTGATTGCCGTTGCGCTACAGGAAACGATCACATTTGCGTTGCTCTTCGAAACCAATGTGCAGGTCCCAGTGCTCGGGAGAATCCTGCGACTTACATGCAAAACATTGCACGCCGTGATAGTATTGCGCTCTACTTTATGGACTCCAAAGTTTATGCCAGTATGGGAGAAACTTTGGTTAAAGCAGGAGCCGGTCTCATTCCCTTCATGGACGAAAACCTATTTGGTTATGGCTACAAGGGAAAGGTCATTATCTCATCAGCATCATTCAGTACATTTGAGTATGTGAAAGCAGCAGCAATAGCAGCAAAAGCATCACGGAACGCACAACGTTATTTCTTCACGACCGATCAAGAAGAGAATAACTACGAGGGCGTGATGAATAGGCTGTATCCAGTTACGAACAATAGAGTATATGGTACGGGCGCTTCTTCATGTGGTACAGCGCCGTCTTATTATGCTGCTATTATAGCTGCTGTCGCTGGTAAGAAGCAAGGTGAAAATGGTATGAATTACATCTATACTGTGGACAAAGAGCAAGTCATGCGAGACTATATCAATTTGGGTGTCGAAGGAATCATGACGAACCGCCCTGCCTTAGCCAAAACAGTTGCTCTGTCGATGGGTCTAAGACTGGCAATTCCAAGCGATCCGATTCCAATCTCAGAAACCATTGATAGTGAGTATGATGATGTGAATGAAAGATTTCAATGAACAAAGAGTTTTGTTTTTTCTGCTTGAGAAGATTCTTATACTATATTAATACACAATTTTTGAAGTTCCGTACAGCAAAATGAGTCAGACTATGTAATTCCTAATCATTACCGACCTGAAGAATTTGAGTTCGAATAAATGTTTAGATATGTAGCTATTTTGATAATTGGAGAGAAAGTAAAATAGTTTAATGGTTGACTATTCAAGCGGTTATCAGAAGATGTACAGGGTGGAAAATAACATTTTGCCAGAGGGGGGGGGGGCACCGCTATAATTTCAAATCGAAGATATAATGAATTTTATATCAAATAAAAGCTTGTCAAAAATGGGTTTATTGATACTAAATAGTAAGGATTATGAACACTTTTTAATATCGAACTTAAGAAGCGTTGAGAAATTTTATACTTTTTTTGTGGTGGAAAAGTAAAGTGTCAGTCATTGAAAAATGAATTAAAATGTTTTTCTTGGATATTTTTACATGGCTCCATAAAGCTCGTCGAGCTCTATAAAACTGTATATGCTAAAAAATTTTTAAACAGAGTTGTCGGGTTAAAATTCACAGAAAATTGACTAAGGAATATACCGAAAAACCCTCATTTTTTACACTTTTTATAGAGAAAAAAGTGGTCCTTTTTTCACTAAATTTAGTTGTTTTCCATTAGCATTCTTATATAAAATGTTTGAAAATATACTCATTCGATGCAGCGTGAAAAACTGCATCGAATGAATATATTTCGAAACATCTGAGGAAATAAAAATAATCAGAAAAAAGGAAATTTTATTGAAAATTCGAGTGGTTTTCTTCCATATCAAAAATATGACTTTTTAAACATTTTTTAAGATTTTCCAAATAGTTTTTCGAAATTTTTATCAAAAGAAAAATACTCAAAAAATTTTTAATATATCCAGTTTTCTAGAGTTTGACGAGCTCTATCGAACCATGTAAAAATATCTAAGAAAAACATTTTAATCCATTTTTCAATTACTGACACTTTACTTTTCCACCACAAAAAAAGTATAAAATTTCTTAACGCTTCTTAAGTTCGATATTAAAAAGTGTTCATAATCCTTACTATTTAGTATCAATAAATTCCATTTTTGACAAGCTTTCATTTGATATAAAATTCATTATGTCTTCTATTTGAAATTATAGCGGCATTCCACTGGTAAAATGCTATTTCCCACCCTGTAGTTTGATTCCTATTCTGATTTTATGATCTTTCTTGGCAAGGCTTTCCTCCTTGTTGAGACGTTCATATTCGCATGAATGTATTTATTTCAACTCACTTGTATTTTTGTAGATGGCTGCCACGATTGCATAGTTCTTAACTGTTTAGATGAGTTATTATATTCACCTTACTCTTATAGTACTGAGGGCCCAAGATATTTTTTCTGATTGCTGTACAATTGTAATGCTGATAACTATATATAGAAAAAGAAAAGAACGAAATAAAAAAACAAATTGCTTTTCTATTTTAGTGCACCTTTTATTCAAACTCATCTTTTAAAAAGAAATTGATTAAGTCCGCCCTTTTCTTTTTCCGAAAAGAATACGATCGATTGAGTTAAAATGCATGCATGTATACGAAATATTATTTACTGTGTCTACTTTTCATAGATTTAAACCTTTTGCTCCGATGAATTTTTTCGCAATTTTCAAAAAATGAGAGCAATACAAAAAGCAACATTTTCTACGTTACTTTTGAAATTTGAGTTATCCCATCTGCACTGTGTGTTCAAAAAATAATCAAATTAGGTACCTGAAAGATCACTTCTAACATCTACAAAGTGAATATTCCTCCAAAGAAACATTCAGAAATTTTACATGTATAACAAATTTTTACTGTAACAATTGAGGTCTCTTTAGACTGCTAATTTTAGAATTTTCTCAATAAGTAGTCCTTGAAAAAGTATCAGAAAGGAGAGTAAGTTCTTAGATGGATTTCCGAACCCAAGACAAATCAAAACTGTTTGCCTAGTAAATAAATATTCAAAGTTCTGTTAGCATAATATACAGGAAAATTTGAATTTCCAGGAAACAAAAATCTACCTTTATTTCGGTTTCATTGTCTTTCCTAAGTCCTTAATAATGTCTTCATGAATTCGCTAAGGATTCTAATTTCAAAAGAATCAGTTATATATCATCAAACGAGTAGTTTTTTTAACGATTCGTCTTTAATCGGCATTTTTTCACCAAAACTGGTTACCATTTTAATTGTTTTTCTTTATAAAAGATAAGTCTTTTTTTGTAATTTTCATTGTAGAAACACGAGATGATGTGGTTCAAACGATTGAGCCAGAATCAGGTCTTTGGGGTGAATTTACTGATATGGTTTATTGTGATGCGGGTACGTGGGCAATAGGTTTTCGACAACGTGTAGAGCAACCATGTCGTAGTGATTGTGATGATACTGCTTTGAATTCATTGGAATTATTGTGTGCAAAGAAAGATGGAACTCCTGTTAAATCAATTACACCACACATTGGTTTTTGGGGCGATTGGAGTAATGTCGTGCGTTGTCCTCAAAACAGTACCTTTTTAACAGGTGTTTCATTCAAAATTGAATCATCTCAAGGATCAGATGATGATACAGCTGCAAATGATTGTCAATTTTCATGCTCTCAATCATCTAACATTCTCGCATTGAATGGTGGTCCATGGGGCGACTGGAAACAGATGAAATATTGTCCTTCATCATCAGCTATCTGTGGTTTTTCACTAAAACTAGAAAATATGCAAAGCGAAGGAGATGACACAGCCTTGAACGGAGCTAAATTTCAATGTTGTAATTTATAAACTAAGCTGTGTATAGTATTCGTTTTCATTGGTTTTATTATAATTTCTCAAATATTCAATCAAACAAGAATATAATATATACTTCTCCAAGTTTTGTCTTTCTTTCTAATAATTTAATTACTCGTCAAAATCTTAAAGAGAAACAACATGACCCAAAAGTCATGATAGCGAGAATATTGCGTGTGGGGGTATCAGTGAGAGTGCGGCCACTGGAGTCTTTTTCATTACAACCATCCCCAAATGTTGGATCGGACAAGATCCTATCGAATTTTCCAAAATCGAATAGAATTCAATGGGTGCAAAGCTCAAATAAGATCAAAAACAATAGAAAAAAAAACCATGTCTCATGAACAAAAGAATATTAATGTGTTTCGATGTAGCAAATGTATCGACTGAATCTATCGAAACTATCTAATTATACTATGAGTCGCCGATTGCATTCTAACACAGCGCTTGTCCGACAGCAATGAAACAATTAAGAAAAATCTATTGTTTTGTTTATGGTTTATAATAGTGTCAAATATTCAGATAATCGAAGATTTGAGGGCATATCCTCTAGAACATGCCTCAATATTGATCAATCAATGCCATTAACTCTCGATTTTCGAACAATGACAGATTGTCACTACTAATTGGCGTCTAGTGCATTTCATCCGATATCTCATAATAATGAAATCAATTCTCTTGAGATTACGCTCAGTTTTTCTCGAATCGCTTAGTAGAAGCCAAATAACAATGATTAAAGAAGATTCGAGTTGCTTTGGATAGGCAAACAATTATAGGTCTCCCTGACAAAAAACAATAATGCGACATTGAATAATTCAACACCAACATTAGCTACGATTGATCTTTTACTTATGTAAAAGAATATGAAGAATGTTTTTGAGAGAAAGTAATAACATTCATGTTCGATACCAACAAGACTAATAACTAATTATACTCTTACGCGATGTATTATTGAAACAACTAGTATTTCATTGGAAATAAGACAACAAAAAAGGTTTCAAAGTCAGTACAAATATGAATTTGATAATAGTAACGTATTGTTGCGTATTGCTATTCCAGCATTGCATCTTGCATATTAAGGTGGTATACTTCCAGCACAAAATCCAACATTTTTTTTGACATTTATATGAACCACCATTTGATCCAGTTGTGGATACTGTAGTCGTATAAGGAGTGGAACTCACAGATGGCTGAGTGGATTGTTGTGTCAAGGTGGTGGAAGTACCTCGACACAACCACTTGTCAGGACAATCAGGTCGACATTAAGCATACCATTGAGAGCGCCATTGACATGAATATTCCGAGCAGATTTGTGATCCTTTCCATCCCTCTCCACCACATTGCTTCCATGCTTTTGCAAAACATGCGCCACTTGAGTAGCCTTTCATACTTGAACATTCCCAGTCCATACTCGAGCAGCTTGTTTGGCAGGATGAGAACCAACAAGAGGGTGTGGGTGTGGGCTGTGGGTGTAGATGGGTAGGTGTGGGTGAGAAGAAGATGCTTTTTACTCACCCACACACCCACACCCTGAAGATAGGGGCTATCGATTTGAACACAGACTAACACACCTATCCACACTCACGTCCTCAGATTGATAGAAAGCTTTGTTAAATATGATCAATGGAGCATTATTCACTACGTTTCCTTAATAATAAATTATTTGCGGTCATGAATTTGGATGGTCTATTTGTATCTTCTTCGTCTAATTATTTCAGAGATGGACTACTCCAACTCCGCGTTGGAGTTGATGTTTATCAATCCCAGTTAACTTCTTGAATTTGTTTAAAGAAAAGAACGAAAAAAACGCGATAGCGTAGACGGACTTGTCTGTGCATGGTATTGATGGTACAGCTATTAGGCACACAGACGACTAGTCTTGACAGAAGAATGAGTAGGAAATGGGAGAGGCAGGAGAGAAAAAATATCGAAGTGGATGGGGAATTTTTAAATAGGTTAACGATTCCATTAAGTAGGGGACATTTATTAAAAGTATCATTTCATCGAATGTCTGTATTTTCTTGATTGTTTTTCTTTGGTGGTGATTAATTGTAAAATGAGGGTGTGGGTGTAGTAAAAGAGAAATAAAACTCACACCCACCCACACCCACACCTATCTTCAAATATTTGTGTAGATGACATTGAATGGTTTATGAACCAGACAATGTAAACTACGACCTGACTTGCTCAATCAAGGTCATTTGCTTTTGCTCAATTTTGATATATGTTGTAGAGGCAGAAGTTCTAAGAATTTTGATGCAAATCGTGTTAGAGAGTTGAAATTTTGGCCATAGAGAGATCCCATTGAGTACTTAGTCCAGTAAAAAATTCAGCTTTTTACAAGGTTCCTATCGCTCAGGAGATCTTCCATAAAATCACGACTTTGAAAAGGTCCGATCCCTCAAGAGATAGATTATCTAGAAGTCAGACTCATGTGAATTTAAAGTATCCACTGAGTACTACAAAGTTATGAAAAAATTGGCGTGAGATCTCAAAAGAATGATCCTAAAAGACTTATTGAAAAATACCAAAAAATGAGCCGTTTTCTATAGGAAACCTACCCAAGTTCGCTTAGAAATTACTTGAACAGTTGCATCATATTAGGTAAATTCTACTCATTGTAAATTAGCATACGATCCTCTATCAGTTTCTATAAAAGCATCCTTTCAAAATGAAAAAAAAAAATTTGTCGAAAAATTCCTCTACCTTCCTTCAGGTCTCTTCAGATAGGGTCTGAGTGTGGATCAAAACAAAAGATTCACACCAAGACTCTATAAATACAATTGATACATCAGATTTTCTATTGTTATTTATTATTTTACTTTATATGCTTATTGTTACTACATTTACATACTTTTATTCATCATTTATTAAATTAATTATGAGATATTTAAAATTATCGAAATATTAAAATATTATTAGTCTTTGGATTAAAAAATTCGAAAAACTCAATAAATTTGTTTTTTTTCCTTTTTCTAATACAGTTTTAAATCTACAAGATACATGAATAATATCGATTATCGCAAGATTTTAGGATTATTGTGTAGTGCTGTATGTAGAACATATGTTCGAAAGCAAGTCAGTGTCAGTTTTATGTCTGATGCTGAGAATTCGTACGATCCAAAGTTTTCGGATTCGGATTTTGATATTCTCAATGAAAATTTCTAAACTCTTCTTCAGCAGAAGACCTCGAATCTTCTATTATGTTCAAGCACACAAAGTTTCCAGGAAGATCTTCTATTGTGTCCCATTTATTTTCATAATTTTTAATGAAAAAAAGCTTTTGCAACAAACTAAATCGATTCTAAGGATTTAAGAAGATATTTTTAAGGTTTTAAAAGCCACAAAATAATATTGACCTTAGCCTTTTAAGATTTTCAGCTGAACACCTTGAAAACTAGACATATTTTGACATAAATACACTAATTAAGCTTCCGACTTTTTCGAAAAATTAATCCATTGAGAGTGCTTTCTGTTACGACTGCCGAGTTGTTTCTTCCATATGTATCTTCTATTATGGTGGATCTTCTATTGCGGGAAGAGATTTAATCGGAAATGGACAGTCGTTCCGAAGATATGAGATGAAATAGTTTTTTCCAATTTTTGAATCCGGCTGCTAACGCAAACTACAAGTTTCTCAGACGATTAGAATCTACCGTGTCCAAAACTTTTTTGAACTCAAATTCGATCAAGTTTTGGTCCGCGACTGACTCGATGAGTTCTACGTTGGGTATGGGTGTACGATGTGGGTCAGAAGTACAATAGGAATCGCACCCACACCCAAGCAGGGAACGTAAAGCAGAGAATAGAGAGCAGTTGTTTTTGTCTTCTATAACTTCAATGCGGAAAATTATGAATACAAATAATTAATTGATCATTAAAATATGATTATTCATAGAGAAAAGTATCTTGCATTGTTTTATATTGAGTATGGTCATCCCCCATCTGTGCTTGATTAATAGTATGGGTAACTATTTGTAATTCAACAAACTGATCTTCTTGTAAACCAAAGAGAATAATATGAATCGCTTGATAACCACTGCTTTTTGGTTTTAAAATATAATTATTTGTCTTTGAAACCTTGAATCTTTGCGTAAGTATGTTTTGAACAGCGTAACAATCATCTATTGTGTCGACCATTATTTTAATTGTTAATTGATCCATAACAACTATATTTTTCTCTTTTGTCAAAGCGATACGTTGCTCCTTGCTCCATATTGAATAGATAGTTTTAACCCGACCTATCATTTGGATAGAAGAACGAAGACCTTGATTGGAATTATTGGAGTTCAATAAGCGACAAAGCTGGACCATTATACATGAGAGAGTTGCTTGATTAGTTCTTCGCTGTTTCAATGAATTCTCAATGCGCTTGTAAGCATAGCGATGATGACGGCGAAGCCAAGCATTAGATAGAGCATCGAATGCACCGTTGTCTCCACTATTTGGTGGTTGTAACCGTCGCACGAATGCCAATGTTGAATTAAATTTAAAAGAGGACCAATGTGCCATATGGTATCGTAAACGTTTGTACATTTTCAACTGAGAAACGTAGAGAGGATTTTCTTCTATACATAATGCAATACTAGAACCACACTTGAGAAATTTTTTGGCGCATTTTAGACCAAAATTTTGCTCGTGTGAACAGATTCTACCAAACACATCACCGCTTGATGATAAATATGGGTTCAATGGATTGCATGATGACCAGCCTCCGGCACCGATCCCTAACGACAGGTTATTAGGAAGCGACTGACGACATAGAGTTATTTCTGATCCATTACTACCCATTCCCAAGGCGATGATAATGAAAAGTATAGATGATGAAAGCATTTTTGCAAACAACAGCTTAAAATAAATGATAAGTTCAAGTTTTATTTGAAGTGCCATATTCATTACGGAATGGATCTAAGGTAGAGACCTGCGAAGTCGGAGTCAACCAAACTTAAATTTTCGGAGTTGGGGTTGGGTTTATTGAAAAAATTTTTCGGAGT